ACAGAAAACTGAAAAGCTTTTCTCCAATCCAAAAGAAAAGGACCCATAAGGTCTATAAGCTGACAGCCATGTACTACTGTTAGCTATTACTGAATCCTTTTTAGACCGCACCAGGGGATCTAGGAGGGAGAGTGATGGTCAGATCCTCATTGGAAAGGGACTAGAATAGGCTCTTTCCTCAGGGTTCTATCCCAGTACCTCTCTGTTCAGTGCCATTTTCCCTTGGCTGGACTGGGACCCAACCAGGGGAATTCTTTGCTCTGCCCAGCTCAGCTTTTGTTCCCAAGTTCAGTACTCATCTTCATGAAAGACTGCATATTTCTTTAGGATTACTTTCAAGCCATATGTTTCTGTTTTGAAAGAATTAGGGCTTTTGCTCTAGAAGGATCAGCACAGAGAGAGAAAAAGGGCAAAGGCTTTTGTTACTCCCAAAAGGTGAGTCACCATGATGGGGCTAACCCGACAGCATGGGCACCTTTCAAAGCATAGGATTGACACTAATTTTCCCTGGCATATTAATTTTGTCCTAACAGCCAACTCTACTCCTCTGCTTCTGTTTTGTGTGCCTTATGGAGAAAGTAAGGCCACCACTCCTCGCCCAGCCCCTTCTTCAAAGGGGTGGCACAGCCTGGCTGCAGGAGCGTGCAATCATTCTTGGAGATCAGCAACGCCAGGACCAAGTTCCATTTCTCTGATCGATAAATGCAGTTGCTGAAAAAGAAATGCACATCTGCCTCCCCACAAATAAAAATTTAGGTAGAACTGTCTGAATTGGTGGGAGAGGAAAGAGGAGCTTACATCATTCTGTGTCACCAGATTCTCAATAACACACAACTGGGCAAACAGGAACAACGACAATCCCAGGGAAGCCTGTGATGCGGATCTCAGAACATATCCCCGTTACTCCAGGGTGTCACCTAGACTCAGTGGAATGACTTTTCAACTTAACATAAAGTGAGAACTGTCACTGGAGAATAAATTCTCTCTGCCTTAAAAGAGCAGTCCACAAAGTAATCATTGCAAGGAGCAGAGGCGCTTTATCTTCTTAGTGGTGGCAAAGTGACTCTTCTGATTGGAAAGTGCTGATTTACTCCAGAACGCACCCATCCTGCTTGCTGCTCATCTCCATCCTACCCTCCCAAAGGCAGAGATATTCTTGACTGTGTCAGAACTGCCAACTTAACCCAGCAGGAAGCTTTGTCACCAGCATCCTGTCCCAGCCAGGTCTCTAGGCTGAGAGGAGCAAGAGCCCACCAATGCTAACGTGTGAGGAATCCAGAGGGAGGAGAGAGACGTCTGACTTCTGAAGGAGTGGTTGGTACCCATCAACCTTGCCTTCCAGCCTCTGTGGCCAAATAGAAGCATCGCCATCAGGCTGCCCCTGAATGCTGCCCACCAGCGACCAGCAGCACTGGGGTGTGTGTGTGTGTGTGTGTGTGTGTGCATGCAGGCACGTGCGTCTAAGAGGGTCCTTGTGGAGCAGGCTGCTCTGAAATTCTCTATGCTCTGTACCTCTTCAGACATTAATACGTGTAGGTCAGAATAAGCCAGATTTCACACAGCCGTGAGCACGTCCGAAACGGCCCTTTCTGCCTGAAGCTCCTCTTCTTTGAATCTCAATCTAAATCTCGGCATCTGACAAGCGGCGGGTGAGAGTTTGCAGAAATATTAAGGAACGAACCTTTGCCAGAACTGAAACCGAGATGCGGGCAACAACAATGAAAAACACTTCGAACCTCGTGGGCTCGCAGCCAAAGCCTTGGAACTTGGTACGTGCGTACCAACGAGCGCAGGATTCGCCACAGCGATTTATAGCAGAGATTCTAGCCCAGATTTATAGCAGACTAGAGTGTGGCGCTCTTGCGAATGCAGAGGTTTGGGGTTGGGGGCGGGAGGAAGGTAGAAAAGGAAAATGAAGAAAGAGAAAGCGACAGATTCAAATGCAATCCAAACATTCCGAGCTGCCCTCTCAATCTCAGAAATTTTACAATAATTTGGGTGATCCTAATGGTCTTTGAACCACGTTGGAAAATGTCACAATAGACGTTTGAATTAAAATCCAGTAGGTTTGCCAAAAGACCAATTGTTAAAAATTGGCAGCATTCCACAGAATTTACTAGGCTGCGTACTGCCCGGAGCTGAGAGAATTGTTAATTCCAAAGAAAGTTAATTATCACCTTATTGATAAAGGGGTAATTTTTAAAGCTTGTGGTGTGGCTTTTGTGACTCATTAATTAAAATTTAGAGTAATTTACTAGACACAGTGGTGGCTTCTGTTACGTTACATATGTACCAAACCATTTGATTTTTCTCCCAGGGGCTGTTTTTAATCCCCCTCTTCTCTCCTCACCTGTCTGCCTTTGAAGGCAACAAAAACATTAAAAACGTGTAAATCTCAAACTAGGCTTTTGGGAGATCGCAGGATTAAGAAGTAAGATGTCCCTGGCGGCCCTTTAAGCTTCCTCCTCGCAATGTCCAATTTGCCCACTAAAATTAAGAAGCACATGTGTTCACGCCTAAAGAGACTGCTTTCACAAACTTCATCTCTAAAATGTCAGACCGAGTTTTATTCTCTTTGATAGGTAGTAGAAGAGAGGCTTTCTGCACCTCCTTTCCCTCCTCTGCCACACCATGCCCGAAGAGCAGAAGGCTCAGTGGAGGGGAAGCGGCAGCGAAGGAAACTGGAGGAGCTTGGAATCTGAAGCCCCCAGCCTGACAAGGGGCAGTGTCGCCTCTGCTTTCTTCAGGACGTGTGGGTTGCCGTAAGCACTTCCCGGCCACTTGGCGTCAGTGTGATGCTGAGGCTTCCAGGGGTACAGACCCGGGAGGAACAGCGTCCCGCGGAGCTCCGCCGGGGGCCCCTGGGGAGGGTTCGAGCTTCCGCCCCCATCTCTGCCTAGACCCAACGCCCGTTTTAAGGTGTCAGAAGGGGCGAGTGTGTGTGTGATGTGTCCTCCTGCCACGGCACACTGTAAACAGACCTACAAAACACTCTAAAATCTAACTCCCCAGATGTTCGTAAAGGTTATCTCTCCCTGAGCATTCCTCATTTTGATTTAAGGGAACTTTAGTAACGTTTTCTTAGACTTGTGGACGAATTGGAGATCCAAAATTGAGACTAAAAAAATAAATAAAAACCACCACATTATGAAAGGTTTAACGCAATGTGCTCATGATTTTCACATCATTCAAAGCCTAAAAAAATTTAAAATTCTGTCTTGGTACTTTGGGGCATCGCGTGAATTTTTATAATAGGCAAACATTATTTAACATTTAAAAAGTCTTGACTTTTTCGAATTTTCAGTGTGAAAGTTCTTACAGCAGGGTGACAGCCCTTGGGGCGGGCTTGCTTTCCAGCAGCTGGTCAGCTTGCCTTACCTGCTGCTGGAGGAAGCCGGCGACCCCAGCCCCCAGAAGCCAAGAACCAGAAAGTGAAACCACTTCTGCTGGTTTCACTTGCCTCGAAAACACACCACCAAAAACCAATAAATGACCGAAAGCAATTTACTCTCGTTTCTCTTCTTTCTATTACTCTTCATTTACCCTTTTTTTTGTTTTTTTTTTTTTGCAGCAAAATAAAAAGTAATTTTGGTGCCACGAGGAAGAAATTTAAACATAAAAGAACTGGGTTTTTGTGAGATTTGCACTCTTCCTATAATTCCACAAATCAAGCAGACTGATACATTTGCTAAAATATGACAGAACCTCTCCACGTAACGCAACTTAAAGAGCTAAAGAAAACACATTCATATTTTTAGAAATATCTGTCTCAAATTGCTTTTAAAAGTAAAGATTTTGAAGCCAACCAACAGCTTTCCTAAAACTGAAGGTTCTACATGAACATTTTGTTTGAGTTTAGATGATCACGACTACTTTTCCAGGTAATCTTTGCCCAGCTGCCGTTGCTCAAACACTCCCCTCATTTTTTCGGGCTCATGCTACCAAGAAGCGTAAAAAATACTCCACGCAGATACTGTTCCCCTAGGTAGTTTCCTTAACCACACTGTAAATTCCTTCTCAGTTATTTTTATGCTTTCACTCCAAACATTTTATTTCATTTTTTTTGTCTTGGGAAAAAAAAGCAAGTACATCTCTCACTCTTCAAAAATGGTTCCTTTGATTGAAAAAGAAGAAAACACACAGAATATACAACAAATATCTCGATTCCAGAGCGCCTAGATTACTCTCTCCAGGACCACAGTGTCTGAGGCCAACCAAAAAGCCACTTTCTCAGAAAGCTGTTGACCGTCTAACCATCTGGAGAGCTGTCACAGAATCGAGAGACAACATCACGAGCCACCTTTTGTTACTATTAGAGAAAGAACTTTGACCCAGCCCCTCAACAACTCTGTCAAACGACTTACAGACAGCAGGCACCTCACCCTCATCCAACTTCTATCCTTCGCAGCAAGCAACTTGGAAAGGAAGCCTTGTGTCACCGGATTCAATCACTCAAGACCCCACCTGGGAAGTAGGTGACTGTATTTGAACTTGGAAAGACTGCTCCTGACACTCCATAGTCACCTGACTTTTTCCCCAAAACCAACCAACACCAGCAACTAGCAATACACCGTATTCTCATCTGCCCCAGGAAATTAGGAAAAACCAGCACAAAGACACGTAAAGTATTCCACCTAGGATATTAAAAATAAAATTCAATTTAAAAAGCCACCTCGCATGTTCATAACACATCGATTTTAAAATTTAAATTTTAGGTAAGTATTTTTTATCCCATAACATACTGCAATTTTTTTAAATTAAAGAACAAAACAAAGCAAAGTGAAATCATCATGCCAAAAAAAGGAAAAAAGCTAACCAGTTATTAGAGTTCGCGTTTGGGGAAAAATATAACTTTCTACATATTTAAATGCAGAGTTAAAGAGCAGTGAACATGTATATACCTAAAATTTATAAACTATGTAATTCTCTACTGCATCTTCCCCTCTGAGATCTGGTTGAAAGCAAACATTGTATTTTGAGTAGGAGGAACTTAAGTTTACCTGCCGGCCGCAGTGGTTTTACTTCAGGACACTCGTGCATTGCCGGAGACGGAGGCATGCAACCGAGAAAACCTGAAACAGGTAAGCTGTCATGCTGACAGTAAGAAGAGAAGGATCCCGTGTCGACGGCACACCCTGCGATTGTGCATCTCCCTTACCTACAGCTCGTTCACCAGAGCACTGATCTGGTTCTTTACCAGGCCGGGAATGTTGACTCAGAAGACAGATGACTTTCAGTACACCCAAACCGAGTATTGCAAAAGCTAATCTTCCACCCGTGTGTTAGGAGCTCACAGTTAGTCTCCAGCAGCCCTGCTCTCCGGCTGCAAACATCTCATTAGACTAATGCATTCAGCACAGGCAGAAAACTCGATTTACCATAGCTACAGCAATGAATTTCCATTACGATGACAGCTTCAACCACATCATGTCCGGAAAACCAGCCAACCACTGGCTTTTAAAGAACACACACATTTTACATGCAGAAAACGAGGCGTGCATGTGCGTGTGTGTGTGTGTGTGTGTGTGTGTGTGGTGTTTCCTTCCTCTTAGCAGCCTAACTAAGAGAAATGTGCACTGTAGCTTTTTGCCGACATGAGCTGCAAGGTAATGACACTTCTGCTTCTTTGGTAGTTACGTCCTTGTAATAACCTGAATTATGTCACAATTGTCAGAATGGGTGTTTCCAACATTTCGGTTTTCATTAGCCCTCCTCTGTTGCCATGGAAACCAGACTGTAACATCACCCCTTTGTCCCAGTCCTGCAGCAGTGTGGGCCAGCACCGGGCTTATAAGACACTGGTGATCTGAAGGAGTGGATGTTTGACTTTGGACAAATAAAACAAAAAGAAATATTCCAACGACGTCACGGTTAGGGAGAGACTGTGTGTTTACCAGAGGAGTGTGCCGACACAGGTGAACACGCCATGGTCATACGTGTTAACTATATAGCTGCATACCACATATGTGGTCAGTTCATTAGAACAGGGCCCTGACTTGGGCTCCAGGCCTGTGTGTGTGAGTGCAGATGAGTTTCTACACTCGTGAACACGGTGGGGGCCTGCATGGGGTGGAGCGGTCCTCACCGAGGAGAAAGGCTGCTATTCATCTTCCATGCCCTGCTGTGTGCTCTGTGGCAACTCAGTTTATACTGGTAAAGGGATTTCTTCTTTTTTTTGTAAAGCTGAGCAGAGCTACCCACTGCCCGTTTCATTCACCACATTCAGGGGTATTGTCGTTGTTCTTACGTGCCATCAGGTGGGCTCTGTCCTCTGGAGACCCTGTGAATGCATGATGTCCACAATGCCTGTTCTCAACAGCCCTGTTCAGCGGCTGTAGATCATGCCTATAGCTTCCTTTATGGAGTCAAACCCATCTCATGTTTGGTCTTCCTCTTTTCCTGGGGTATCTGGGGTGTTATTCCCAAGTATTTCCTACAAGATGACACATCCATTCTACAAATGTGAGGCCACCCACAGGCGTACTCCTGGGGATGAACAACAAACAAATTGAGCCAGGACTAAACATCAACTAGGACTATTTAAGGAATAAGCCACAACTTGGACAGTTACTGAGAGTGAAAAAAAAAGAAAGAGACTACAGCTTGAGGTTTTTCTGAATATATATGAAGAGTCACATTAGAAAGAAATAAGAAATCTCTCTCCTCAAATTATAAACATAGGAAAAAATTATATTTTTTTAAGTCAAAGCATTGTCCTTATTGAGCAAGAAGTAAATTCACTACTTTAGTTCATTTAATCCTCTAATTTTGTTGTTTTGTTTTGCAAGTGAAAAGGTAAATTTGGTAGTTTTACATTTTGGTCATTTAATACAAGTTGATTTTATTAAAGAAGGAGGAGGAGGAAGAGGAGAGAGGGAGATGAAGCAGAGAAGGAGGAAGGAAAACAGGGCCCAAAGGATGATTTCAGTTTGGCCAGCATCTCCGTCGCAGCTGCCACCGCGGTTGTATCTATGCCTGTGGCCTTGAACGCAGTCCCACATTACACTCAGCAACGCCCCTCGAGTGTGTGAGATGCTAGACCAGTCTTCACTTTTAAATGTTTCTTCAGATAAATGAAACAAATCTTTCTTAAATAATCAAAACTATTTCCAAAATTCTGTAAAAGTAGAAAAAAAACTTGGCAGAATCTGCCCGAAAGAAAGGAGTTTTGGTTTTCCCACCCAGCTCTGTGAGAGTATGTGATTCTGATCCTCAGGGTCCACACTTCCTCACCTCCTCCCAGATGAACTATAGTTGTGGCCTATAGGAGTTCGCCTTAAGGAATTAAACCCATGTTTTAAAAAATCCTAAATGTTTTTAATTCCAAGAAAAATTTAAGTTAAACATGTAAGAGAAAAGAGATTTGCTGAGATGGCTGCATACAAGCTAAGGAGTCTGTTAGGAAGACAAGGGGCCCTTCTGAGCTAACATATCTCTATCTTGTACATTCCTGGACCACTATCAGGATGCTTAGGCTGTGCCACGTTGTTGATTTTCTTTGGTGCTGTGGTTACATTTCTGTCTCAGACCACAGGTAGCACGCTCCACTCTTTCTACACAATGCTACTGGGTTGGTGGTTAGCGAGAGGTAGCCAGAGGGAGCAGGTTAATTTGGGGGCATCCCAAATGCAAACCTACTTAAAGCAGTCTCTATCTGAAGAGTAATCCCTCCAGCAGCTGCTGGTAAAGAGTTGTGGTTCCAGCACACGCGTCAGGTCGGGAGGGCTGTGTCCTGAACAGAGGAGTCAGGGCTTCTGCACAAACAACCCTTGTTCTCATAATAGTAGCTAACATTTACTAGGGAAATACAATGTGCAAGCCCTTTTCATGTCATCTCATTTTCAACGACCCTGTGAAGTAAGTGTTATGAGTACCATCCCCATTTTACAGATAAGGAAACCGAGACTCAGGGATGTTAAATAACTTGCCCAAGGTCACACAGCTCAGAAGTGTTGGATACCAGATTGACCCCAGCAGTCTGTCCCCAAAGACACAATATTTAATCATTCAGCTGCATGGCCTCGTGACACTGCCCCTTGTTCTAGCTCTGTCATTAACCCCACGACAGTGGTGAAATCACTGTCCTTCTATAACGTGGGGGCTGGGGACAGCAGACTGGATCATCTCTGTGGTCCCTATGGTTCTGATATTTTGTAGTGCAATGAATTGCTTTACCTGCTAGGCTGGAACAGACCAATGCTGGGTTCGAGGAGAACTCACTGTGGTTGTGGCCATAGTCATGACTAGTAAGGGGCAACAAGCACTCTCTTTTCGGGTAGAGGTAGCGGGGAGAGAGCATAGAGAAGAAACAGGGAAGTTTTAAAAGCCAGGATTTCATCCTTAAAGTAACAAAGAGAACCAGTCTCCCACACTCAAGTGGCCCCACGACTTTGCTTCCTCATCATTGAACAGAGACTTTTCCTTAAGTGTTCCTGAAAATTTGAGAAGTTTCAGGGTCATGGAGGGTATGAGGCTTATGATCGCCATTTTGCCAAAGGAGAAATCGAGGCAGCAAATGGTTAAGCTGATTAGTTAGATAAGAGAGGCAGAATAAAGAGTAGATGCCAGGCCCCTTGGCTCCCCCACCCCGTCACTGCTTCAACTCAAAGCCCTTCATGGGGCCAGCTCTTAGTTTAAACCACACAAGCAGGGATCTTTCCAGATTAAAAGCAAACCTGTTCTTCATAGTGAAGATAAGCAGGAAACAACTCAATGTCCAATACAAAGACATTACTTAAGTAAATCTATCATGTGTCCACATGGTAGAACATACAATGTAACTACCAAAAATGATGCCATAGAAAACCATGGAATGGCATGAAAAGACTGTTCTCAATACATAGTTGCTAAAAAATTGCAGCTTACAAAATAATATGCAGAACAGGATCTTATTTCAAAATACTGGAGATATGTTAAAAGTAATGATCCCTTGGTGATAGAATTATGAGTAATTTTAATCTTTTTAATCTATGTTTTTAATATTTCTACAAAGGAAGACCTACTTTTTTGTGATAATAAAAAGTTGTATGAATGACTTGATTGATTAGTAACAATTTTTCGTTATCACATCTGCAAACATATTTGCTTATAATTCTCATAAATCTTAAGTCTCAAATTTCTTTTTCATCAACAAAATAAAAATAAAACCTTTGCCAGGTGGTTGTGGGCTACACTCAGCCCTGGCCTTAACCAGTGCTTCAGTCTTAAAGATGGCCCCCAACTCGCTCAAGTCATCCTCTGGCCTCACCCTGATCTTCACCAGCACCTCTCATATTTGAGCCCACGTAGGGTCCTCAGCACAGCCAATACAGTATCAGGGACAGACTCCCTTCCCTTCGCTACCCGAAGGCTCCCACAGTCTGTGGGGTCCTCTCAGAGCTGACGATACTCAGTCTTATTTTAGTAAAGCCATGTGCTAAAGACACAGGAGGTTGGGAAGGAGGAAAGGTGATCGAATGAAGTGAAAATCACTCCCATCCAAGGAAAGAGTGACTCATTCAGTCTCCTGGGCTTAAAACATGGTTCCTTTCAGGTGACACCTCCTCTCTTTGTGGCTCTGGGCCTGTGGCCTTGGCTGATATTCAGGGATTGACTTAGTGGAAATATTTGTCTCAGGGTCTGGCAGTTCTGGTGGTAGCAAGCCCAGAGACCCTCGTCCCAGGGGCAGTGTCTGGTAACAGGGTCTGTACAGTGAGGGCATGTGCTGACAGCCCGGAGAGCTGAGGGGGGACAAGAGCAGGGACTTTTTCTTCCGTCACTAGGCTGTAAATTTCAAGATGGCTGGGACCAATCTCGCTTTCCTCTGTATCCCCAGAATGTAACGCAGTGACTGGTCTGCGGGAGAAAATCAACAAATAATTATCGCTAAATAAAGAAAAGAAACTAGGGCTTAAAGAACATGACCTAATCTTAATCAATATGAGCACAGGCTTTTAGAGCTGATTCCTTTTCCCTGAAAAAGTGATTGCCTTTAGATATTTGTTGTCAGAAAAAAAAAAAAATCCTAATTTGTTAACATTGAAAGGATGGCTTCTCTTTCCTCTCTCTCTCCTTCTTTATGCTGTTAAAATATTCTCTCCTTGGGATCACTTCTGCTTTGAGCCATGTTTGCTTGAAACGAACACACTTTTATTCAAAATTCACACAGGTGATCTCCAAGCACTTTTGGTTATTAACTAGGTTTCCCTTTTCCTCCTAAAATATTTCTCCCAAGTTAAATGTGAAAAAAAGAGCCTTGGAGTGCTAGAAACTCCTGGAATTGGAGAACATAAGTGTCAGCCAGACGTGTATGCGTGCTCGAAAGAGACAGAAAGACTTCAAATAAAGTAGAGAGTATACACAATTTCAGCTGATAACAGTTACTGCTTCTAGGCCCAACGTCTATAGAAAGATGTGTGTGTGTGTGTGTGTGCATGCACATGTGTAACA